ATTCCTCTTCCTGCTCGGTGCTAAATGAGACTAGAAAGTGTTGATCAAAGAATATTCTCTTGAACTTATCCCAGCTCAACCGAATACCACCAATTGGTCTCTCAGATTCTGACCACCTCTTACCAACACTAATCAACTATACTATGGCTAAGATAACTTTCTACTCCGAAGTACAGATTACCACCTCAAAGATGGTTTCCATTCACTCTATCCACAATTCTGTTTCACCTTCCCTCATACTTCTGTTATATGTCGGTGGGTTGAATCGAACAGATATCTTCCAAGCATGATCAATAAATGGATCAATGCTAGGAATCTCTGGTCCACTACATGAATTCTGAGACGACCTAGGTCTACTATATGCTTCCTATATTAGGATAATCTAAGCTTCAACTCTCTCTTCTTACTCTCTACCCCTTAGTATCGTGTCATAATCCCTAGTGGTTTGTCTTATGTTGACAACATATCCCTGAGCTCTTCTAGTAGCTCATCATGTCTATCCCTTTGCAGCTGAACCGATTGAACTTTCGACTCTCGCTCCTCCTCTATAACCCATCTAGATACTGCGGTTCTTGCACGAGTACCTCTGATATTGTACTATTTTCTCTCCTGCTAAAGGTGAAAATATGAAACACAAAGGACATTAGAAAAAGAGTTGTGTAATGAACAAGATAAGTTACCATACTTCTAAATGAATGCATCAATAACAATTTAGTCTTGAAAACTAAAAAACTGATATCAAAATTGTAACCTCCTCTTATAATCACTCAATATAAGAGAAGATTACGGTGTTATTATTGCCTCACATCAATTACAATAATCAAATTTCATTTAAAAGCTTCAGCCAAAGACTTATTTTTCAAAATCAATTAATTCACAATAAAATTAGAGAAATACAAAGTAGAAGTAGATCATACACTCCTCTAATATGTAGTAGTCATAAACTACCAATATTCCTATCCCAATTGCATACATTTCATTACAAAATAAAACAAAAATTTGGTCCGTGCACCACGGCATGTGGCATAGAGCCACCTATTGACCGTTTCTGTGCCGTATGCCACGGTATGTGTCACCATGTGCAGCGACGCACCTGTCTGAATTTCTGCTATCATTTTGATAGCAAAAATGATGAACTTTCGATGTGTGCCATTTTTACACACGACATCCAATTAGAGTGATTCAAGCACTCACATAAAGCTCAGTTCATATACTAACTAATGGAAAAAGTTTGAATACGATCTAATGGTCTGATTAAAATTTAGACACCCAAGTGCAAAAAGTCACTTTTTCTGAAAATTTTATTCACTTAAGTACTCAAATCGATCCCTTTCTCTCATTAGACCTCACTAGGCCTTGAACCAAGTCTAAAAGGATCTAATACACTTGATTGACCACAATTAATCACAATCACACTCATATATTGAAATTTAACCCTTCTACGGTCAATTTTCACAATTCACTAATTTCACATACTTTGTCATTTCTTGGCATAACTTAGCCCACTTGGCTATTTCTCAACTCATACATATACAATCATATTCATAATACAATCTTAGCCCCCAAATTACTCATTTCATCATAATCCCTTGGCTTAAGATTCACCAATCACAAAATCATTTCAACACACTATACTCAAATCATAGCCCCTTTATTTCAAACAACACATATACACATAATCGGGCTTGATTTCACACAATCTCTATTCAATACATGCATGTAACCTTATGGCAACTCATATACACTTATGTATACAATCTCAATTTAGTTCATTACACAAACTCAGAGTACACGACTTCACACTCAAGCCAGTCCAGACTCTCTTCCCTAGCCCTGATCACTTCTTGATCCTGTAAACATATAACCACGGGTGTGAGATAAAAATATCAGTAACAAAATAACTCACCCCTATTGACTATCACATAAAAAAATATGGAAGTGACCATAGTATATCATTAAAACCTTATAAAATAGCATTTATATCACAAATCTCATTTCCTTTCTCAACTATTCTTCAATCACAAGGGATTTCATGTTATATCAACATATTTCATCATATCACATAACATACTAGCATAATCTCTACCAATGAATCCTCTAAATCACCCCGACATGAAACCGTAGGCTCATCTTAGACTAATATACACTCTCATTAGTGTTGAGCTCACCTATAGTGATAGACTCACCCGGCCAAAAATGTTCTAACACATAATACGAACTATTTTCCCCCAATACACACAATGGGGTGTCATGGACTCCAACATTATATCACAAGGACATTAAGGAGTCTCTCATCTCCAACACCGTACCTCAATAGGCAATAAGGAGATCTTCTCTAATACCGCACCTTTTAAGGAAATAAGGAGAATTGTTTCCAACAACACACCCCAATGGGTACTAAGAAAACCTTGCCATATGGTCTTTATCATCTCCTACACTTGGGTGAACTCCCACTTCTATGATCATGCTTTCTCGAACTATTTAAAGTTTCCATTTACCATTTCACACTTTCTTACACATAACATATACATATAATACTTTACATTTGAAATCACACATTTTAATGCTTTATTTCAACCAAAAGCCATTTTCACACAATAGTCACTCAATGCTATACAATATGCTTAGTTTAAAATTGTTTCATGTACTACTTAGTATACTAACATATAGTTACAATAAATAGTCAAACAAAGAAAGTTATTTAGTTACCTCAATCCTTTGTCACTAGAAAGTTACCTATGGATTTCAAATATCACATAAGCCTATCTCAGGCTTCCTTTCTCTACTCACGCATCCAATATGTCAATTTAAACACATTTGGCACATTTTAGTCATTTGGTCCATTTTGACCAAAAACTCATTTTTACTACTTAGGTCTATATTCATATGTAAACTCTTTTTTATTTATCCATTCTAAGTCTATGATTATCCAATTACTACTTTACATCACCTCAACCGGTCTCATTTTACTCAAATCAAATTTTTGCCCTAACTTTCTCTCTCTAAAGGCTAAAATTTAGCCTATGAGTTCAAAACTCTACTGTTCAGCTCTAAATCAATCACAAAACTCTAATTTAACTTTTGAGAACCTTTTTATTACTATTGGGCAAGAATCAAACCTATTAAATTTCACCGATTCAATTTCCTTTTAACTCATTTTCAAAGAAATTTGTGTAGGATGGAAGGTAAGAGTTATACGTAGCTTACCTGGCAAGTTACCAATCTGAATCACCTTTCACCCCTCTAAAATAACTTGACTTAGCTCCTAAGTGCTTTTCCTCTCTCTATCTCATGTGTTTATGAATTTTACTCCTCTAAGATTTTTGAATTTTCACAACTTATAAAGGCAATTTTTGGTCCATGCATCATGACGCATGTAGCACAAGTCATGACGCATGGCATAGTGAGATTTATTCTCACCACGTACACTTTTTTTCAACCTAAAATGCACTCCTATCACCCATATCTGTTCATACAATACATAAACAAGTCAAAATACCAATTAATCATCCAAATCTCTAATTCCACATTAACTTTCACTTCACCCTCGATTAACCTCTAAACTTAGGATTAAGAAATTTAGGATGTTACAACTACCATATATGAGGTTTTGATGGTCTCTATAGCCTAAGTTATATCTACTAGAATAAGGATCGTATATAAGATTTTGTGGTTATAAAGGTCTCCTAAAAAATACACTAGCACACATCTCATAATTCTCTTGTAACTGTGGACACTAATCAGTAGCATGGGTAGTGAGGGAATAAAAACCTCAAAGAGGACCAACCATTTTCATTGAATGATATGATGAGGATGGTTTCCTTTGCACAATAGCAATTTGTTTAACAAGGAATGCTAACTCCTTTATTTTATTCTCCATTTGTTGTTGTTGGTTTGAAGAAGGAGCATAAATCTCATTCACCACTTTAGTTAATGTAATTGGTTTGGAAACTAAACTGTTGGTGATACATGAGAATTAGGAATAATAGGGGTAATTAGAGGAATTAGGAATATAGGGGTAGTTTAGGTATTTAAATATATTCTTTATAAATAGGTCTTCAGGTTATAATAGGTCATTGTGAATGAAATGAATTAATCTCTTCCTCCTCTATCTCTCCTCCGCCTCTCATCTCTCTCTCCCCTCCCTATTTCTCTTATTCCTCTATCAAGGTATCAAAGCCTCCTCTCTAGCCATGGCTCTGTAGATAGCCTATCTAATGAATGCATTGGTACTCTTAAATATCATTTGGAAATGCAATCAGCTTTGCTTCAATGCAACCAATAAACATTAGACCAAGAAATTCATGATTTTAGTGAGTCAAGCAAACTATGTCTCACATTTCTCAATAGATGCATAAAATATCAGCTGAGCTCTCAATGTTTACCAACTAGCACTTGCACTCTCTTATGGTCACTGTGGGTATAACATTTAACATGCCACCATGTAACCCTCCACCCCTTTTAACAATGATAACCTCTACCTTTACTTCAAGCCTTCAATCATTAAACCAACTATCCTCACAGACATTAGGATAGCTATACTATGTTTCAAATGTGCACGAGTTCAACTACCAATAATAGAATGGTAACTTCAATGATCAAATAATAACATAATTGAATGACATTAAAGAAGGTGAAGAAGAAAAACTTGAGAATGACAAGAAGATTAGAGCGAATTAAGAGCAGTAGACTATAGAAGTAACTCAAAATGAAGTTGGTAGATTAACTACAAATGAAGAGGAAGTCGAGGAGATGCTCAAAATGTTGAAGCTTGATGAGAACTTTAATAGAGATGATGACGACTCATAGATTTTTAGAGACATTCCCACCCATTATCATTGATAACTGCCAAATTCATTAAGCCCACTCACATCCTTCATGTTTTTGTATTATGTTTTTTAAATTCACTGATTTAATATTTTTTCATTTGCACAGAAACTAAGTGCCACAAATAAAGTAGTACAATCACAAAATATATATCCTCATTACATGTCTCATAGGGGATGTAGGAAAGTTGAGCAGAAGCTAATTGAGGAAGATCAGAAGAAAATAAAGGAAGCAGCAAAATTGGACCCCACTATTGTTGTTCCGCCCTTATAATGCCCAACACGTCAAAGAAAATGGAAGGCCAAAAGGATCAAGAAAGGGGAGCATATCACTCCAAAGGCTGCTGTAGTTGCTGAAAAAATCATAAGTAGTTAAATATTTTTATTTTTTATTTTAATTGTTTTTGAAGATTAAGTAATCACTTGACTTATATGTTGTAGGATTCACTTAACGAGCAAGCTTCTTAAGGTTCCTTCACTCCTAGAGGAAGGATGGACATTCTATCAACTGCAATTGGAAAGCCAGAACATCTTGGTTGAGTTAGAAGGGTTAGTAGAGGAGTTGGTTTCAATTAATACTTTAGACCAACTCCACAAAGCTCTCTAGGAAGTATGTCTAAAGATGAGATCCATTAGTTGGTGGCCAAGCTTAAGGAAGATACTCAAGCTAAGGTTCAACAAGAGGTTGAGCAAGAGTTTCGTGAATCATTCTAGGAAGATATGATGGCCTAGGTTTGTGAAGAGATGAAATCTATGGTCACTAGTATCACAATTTTGAGAGTTGATCATTCACCTCAGGTTTGTACTATTTATTTTAACGTAATATAAACATTTGTTTAATTTAATTTAACATAGATCTGTATTTCACATAGACTTTTCCTGTGATACCAAGCACAAAAGATAGCAATAATCTACCGGGGATAATGGCACTAGCACTAGTTAATCCTAATTCTTCTATACCAGATGATAGCGAAGGAACTTCTTGTTGCCTTTACCTAAAGTATCCAAAAAACCGTGTTGTTGTCGAAGGTCAAGTATACAAGTTTGGGTCCACAATTCATCATTAGAAGATTAAAGAGGATCAAGTTAGGATGACAATTACACATGTTCGAAAGGGTGAGAATAATGTACAATTGCCATTTCCTACTTTCGAGTTTACAACAATAGGCCAAGCAAAAGGTTCTTTCATTCTATGGCCTAAAAATCTTATGTTAGATATCGATACAATATCGCCAGAGGTAAAAAAATAAGTTAATATTATGTTATTTTCTTTAATTTATTTAATTACTTATATAACTCTTATTTTATGTTTTAATAGGAACCTAAAAATGCTGTTAAATTTCCTTGCTTGACGCAATTGCATGAAATTTACAAACATATGACAAAAGGCATTACTGTTAAAATGCCACTTGGAGTCATGGGTATAGAAAGGGGATATGATTTTGGATTTGAAAAGACAGATCTCAAGGAGTTCCTAAATTTAAAGAAGCTAGACATATCATGGGCTAAATTGGGAATCTTGTAATTTTTCCATCTACTTTTTTCATTTAGTTCATTTATTTTCAAACCACTAACATTTTAATCTCATTTCAATGATAGGTGTCTCTATAATATTTGTTGTGCAATGGTAAAACAAAATATATTTGGATTTTTATGCTCGAAAGCTGTGTAGAAAGCCCACAATGTAGTACATAGAAGGATGACATATGTGATGAATCATATGTCAGACACAAAAATGTCATGTTATCTAGCACCAATTATTGATAATCAAGTATTTTTTTACTCATGAATGTGTTTTCATGTGTGTGTGTGTATGTGTGTGTTTATGTTATTTAATACTCATATAAATTTTTGTATATTACAGCTACCATTGGTCACTTTGTGTTATTTGTCCAAATCAAGGTGTAGTATACTGGTTTTGTTCTCTAGGCAAAACACCAAGCAACGAGGTAATATGGATTTTCAATAAGTAAGCTTTTATCTATATAAAATTTTACTTTTAGATATATTTATACTTTTTTAATATTTTTTTTCATTTACAAATGATAATAGTGCACTTGAGACATATTATATGCTTACACTTGGGGAATGCAAGCCAAAATCATTAGTGGAATAGATTTATCCAAATGTAAGTATGAATCTCTAACTTTCATATTTAATTATTCTTTGCATGTTTTGTTTTAATTTTAAATTTTCATTTATTTTAGTGCCGTAGCAACCAGGAAGCATATAATGTGGATATTATATTACCCGTTACATGTATGAGATAATTCAAGTTGGAAGTACTGAAAGATTACAAGAGGTATTTGGTTTTGTCATTTTAGTTCAAATTCTTGTTTTTAATTGCTTTAAATTATTATTCTGATTAATTTTATTGTTTAGATTTTTGATAATACAAAATCTTATAATGAAGAAGAGATCGATGGCATTTGGAATATTGTGGCTTAACAACTTCTCCAAAAATACTTTTCAAAGTGATTGAATATAATTTTATACTTTTTAGTAATTGAACAAACATATAACGTAATTATAACTGTTGTATATTAATTGTAGTTGTGTTGGTTGGTTATTTATAATCTATACCATTTTTATTTTTTCAATTGTGAATGTACAAGAAAATTTAAAAAAAATTAAAAAAAAAAGAACTTTTAACCATGGTTCCTTAAAAACCGTGGTTAAAAATCTTTTTAACTATAGTTATTATAAAAAAACGATTGTTAAAAATAACTTTTAACAACAGTTATACATAATAACTGTAGTTAAAAAGAATTTTAACCATAGTTTTTCCAGAATCATAGTCAATCTAATTTAAAAAAAAATTAAATTATTTTTTTATATAGTTTCAATGTTAGTTATAACTGTAATCGATGTTGAAAGTTTTTTTAATATTTACTTTTCATTTTTCAATTTTTCACTTTCCTTTAACCCGATGGTAAAAGTTTAAAATAACCTTAAAAATCCGTCTTACAGCAGTGATACTTCAAATTTGAACAGCACAATTCCTCGAACAACATAATATATTATGTTCAAATCTGAACATACATGAAGCACAGAAAAATTATAACAAAAGAGCACCAAAAGAGAGGGAAATAAGACAAGAATTTCAATCCAAAGTCTCCATTATAACTACGAGACTCCCATTACAAACCCATGGTTAAAATATTGTAGCTAATATACAAATAAACTAGAACCCCATGGCTCTAAAAATTGAACAGAACCTGGTGACCATGAAGGTAGAAGAAGCTGTCGAAAGTGAAGAGAAGAAAACGAAGAAGCAGCATGAGCTGCTCACGTTCGGCCTCTGCTTTCCCGAACACTTTCGCCTTTTTCAATTTAGAGTGTTGCTGTCCCCTTTTTCATTTGACTTTCCTTTTTCTTCTTTTCAAAAAATGATTCGTGCATTTGATCATGTGCATCCACGTGCCAAAAATCTGATGTTTTTAAGATAAAACTATCCTTAATAACCCTAATTGCAATTTACATGATTTTACCTAAAACATAGTACAATTTAAGATGATAAAATTGAGTACACTTCCAGCCCAATAAATGTCCATTGATGATCTTCAATTTAGATAAAAAAAAATATGCACAACATAAAATAATATTCAATAGTAACATGTATGAAAATTTGTCAAAAAAAAAAAGGTGTGAAAAATGTTAAATGAAGAATTTAATTATAATTTTTAAGATTTAATACATTAATTCTCAGAAAATATCAAGTATCCAATAAAAAATATATTCTAATTAATCTTAATTAATCGCAATTCATCAATAAAAAGATCAAGCGGAGAGGATAAAAATATATAAAAAAAATAGAATTCATTCACCGAGCATGAAGATGATGCAGTAATTATGATGATCAAATCATTACTTCAGTAGGGTTGGGACTTGGGTGGTCCGCATTTCTCATGTTCGTCGATGCCTCAATGCTAGCGCTAACTTTCCAGCGAAACTAGGTCTTAGTATGATGCCAGGTGTCTGTTTTATGCTGCAAGCTCCTGATGAGCTGCTTGCTGTCATGGCCGGCGATTATGATCCTGGACATCAAGCTTTTGGCTTGCCTTGGATGCGACTACCGTATTTAAAAAAAAAAAAAAAGAAAGAAAGAAAGAAAGAAAGAAATTTCCATCCCATTGGACTTCGGGAAATTGAAAGGGGAAATTTTTTACTACGTTTTTTTATTATTATTTTAGAATACACTTAATTCTGGGACATGATACGTTTCCCTAAAGAAAAATATAAATTTCAAATTTTGCAATATTTTAACATGTTTATTTTGTTCTAGTAGATTTAGGGCCTGTTTATTCTCTTCTTAAAAAAATATTTTATATTTGTGAAAAAATAAAAATTAATCTAATCTATTTTTTTGGATTTTATTATTTTTAAAACCACTCTCATTTTTTTAATTTTAAAGTAGATTATATCTGACCATTGTAAATTATCTTTAGAGTTGACCAACTACCATCATCATTAACCATTGCTAACAACTATTATTGATTTATTTTTAACTCAAATTATTTTCTTATTAATATAATCAAAAGGATAGTAATTTTTTGAAAAACAGTTTTTAAAAATTAATTTACAAAAACAAATTATAAATAAAGAAAAAGATAACAAAATCAAACAAGTCCTTGAAATTCTTAGCTTTAATTATATTTTTTAAAATATATGGCTATGGCAATTTTTTCCCAAAAAAAAAAAAAACGGGTAGATCTTCCAAGCAATTTTCTTTAGGGTGGCTCATGTCATGGGAGAATATACATAAAAATCGATGCATAGTTTGGTTTGCAACTATATATACATCAATGGTATAGGATATAGATCTTCTTATTTTCTTAATTAGATTTTAATTTTCTTGATTACATTACATTTAATGATATATCCGCTGATTAAAATATCCACACAAACCAAACAGCACTAGAATCTTATTAACTACAAAGGCTTGACTCTTATTAATCAACACACTGTACATAAAATGTTTTTTTTTACCTATTTTTAGACCAATTAAAAAAAATTGATGGAAAAAGCATGGGTTAAAATAAGTTAAGCCTCTATTAAATATAAGTTAGGCCAAACCTATTTACTAAATAGATTAGATTCAGGTTAGGCCTTTAATTAGATTTATTTAGATAAATAGGCCAAGCCTAATTTTACAAAGCGTATACAAACATTATATGCCAGTCTATTTATTTACATACATACGTACGTACATATATACGTAGGTATGTACATACATATTTTAATATATTAGGTATATATAATATGTAATATATTAATTTAAAAATTTGAATATAATAAACTCAACTCCCTTTTTCTAACCCCTTCTCATTCTTGTTCTAGATCAAAAATCAAAAGCCACTAAATAGTTCTTCCTTGTCTATATTCTTTTTTTATTATCTTTCATTGTATGATATATTCATGATATACTTGGTTTCATCATTTAATTTTTAATCATTTTTTTCATTTCTAATTTCTTCGTTATGTTTTCAATATTGTGGACTTATGCATGTTTTGAACTTGTGCATATATTGATTTTAATGTTATCACTTTATTATATTTGATAAGTCTTCTTACATATAATATTTATTTTTGTTGGCAAATTAGGTTGCACATATATAGGTTTTATTTAAATATAGTTTATATTAATAATAATAATCCTAAAACTTATACAAGATATTTAAAACTTATTATATGAGCCTATTTAAAAAGTCTATTTTTAATTAGGTTTTTACATAAGTCAGGTTTTTAGTAAGCTCAAGTTTGAAACTTATATCTTAAAAAAAAACTTATATAAACTTTAGGTTAGACTTAGATTTTTAACTTATTGGATAAGCTCAAGCTTATCTTGTCAAACCCCAACTTAGTCTAACCTATTTTCACCTATAGTAAAAAATGTGCATTGTATCATTTTTAATTTTTTTTTCTTGATAAGCTGTATCATTTTTAATTTATAAATAAGTTTTAATGGTATTGGACTTTCTATGTTGATTATTATTTTACTTAATTTGATTTCTTAGACATCAGTACAAAATTGTCTCCCCCACCCCTCGTGCACACATTTCAAAATTTGTAATTATTTTGAATTCTCATATAGCAATAGAAAAATAGGTAAATTAGTAAATTATTTCTTAAATTTTAAGTTTAACAATATTATAGATTCTGAATTTATTTATTATATAAATTATTCTTTATATTTTTGAAAACGGTACAATCCGGCCTTTATCATTAATAAAAGTTAATTTTCATCATTAGCTAACGAAAAAAAAACAGAAAATAACATAACAAATAGATAAATCAGTAAATTATTTCTTAAATTTTAAGTTTAATAATATTATAGATTCTAAATTTGTTTATTATATAAATTATTCCTTATATTTTTGAAAACGGTGTAATCCAGCCTTTATCATTAATAAAAGTTAATTTTGATCATTAGCTAACGAAAAAATAACAGAAAATAACATAACAAATTATACAAAAAAAATTTTAAAAATTTAAATCAGACAAAGTAATTGAAGTTACATTATACAAAATAATTGAGGTCTTATTCATATTATTACGGATTGCTTGAATACAAAATGTAGGGATAAAAAAAATTTGAGTATGGCTTCATCAAGATTTTAAAGTTGTTAATATACTTATTTCGGATGAGGCAAGCCAATAGGATGAACTAAAAAGGTTCTGCATCATGAACTATGTACTACACACATCAACATTGAAGGAATTGAATAATATATGAAAGAAAATACAAAGAAATGAAAGATGTTAGATTCTATTTGTCATGCATATGAGATTCATTTTGGCTAGTTCTACCCCTCAATTTTCATCTTTTTGGGTTACTTTTTATAATTTTTGAAGTTTTTTCTATCATCATTTTTTATTAACTAAAGGTCAAAGCTAATTTTTATTAATGACAAAAGCTGAATTGTACTATTTTCAAAACTTGAGGGAATAATTTATATAATAATTGAGTTTAGAGTTTATGATGCTATTGAATTTAGAGTTTAAGGAGTAATTTGCGCTTTTATTTAAAAAATTTATACCCACACATGTGCATACACCCAAGTGTACCTACACACACACAAGCTAAAGGCTGGATGACATTGAATTTCCAACTCTACTCTATATTCCTTATGCATATCATAAATTCTAATAAATATATTATATTTTTAAAATAAATTTTTTTATTAGTTAAAAACTTGAAAAAAACTTAATATTTTAATTTATTGTTAAAAATATCCTTATATTATTTTAAAAATATTTATTTAAAAATCAAGATATCTATATCATAAAATATTAAAACATTTATTATTTATATTCTCATACCTATATCATGCTCTATGGTATTTG